TAAAAAAATAAAATAATTCTATTAAAAATAAATAAAAATATAGTTATTAACATTATTAGTTTGATTGTAAAATAATTTTTAATTAACTATTCACCTATAGAGGAGGAGCATTATAATATTATTAGTGATATTTAATTATATTTTTATTATATAATCCAACTTAAAAAAACATAAATCTCGAAAAAGATGCACTTGGCAAACAAAGAAATCTAAAAAGAAAAAAGATGAGCTCCCTGGTCTCAGATCCTCAACGTAGGGAAGACGGAAACAAGTCCAAATACGGCCCTGACCCGGCAGTAGAAAAGCCGAAGGAGTCTCCAGACGAAGGAAATTTCCGCATGTACGGAACACCTTTCTCGTATTAACCAGAACTTCTCTGGGGCAATTTCGTAAACTCACCCCTTCCGTATTTTTATCCCGTTCATATTTATTCCGGAAGACGGTGGTAGAAGCAGAACCGAAACCAAACAACACTGTAGAACCGGAAAAACGGATCGCCCGCTTCTTTCGTTAGGAATAACGAATTCCAGGAGTTTTGATTTGGAGTTTAAACAGGAAATAGCCGCCGACGGCGGAGGGTCGCAGGAAAAGTGATATCTCGTCGTCGCCTTGGGCGTTTTGTTCCGATTTCCCTCATTTTGGTGTTTCCCGCTCTATGTCCACCTTGAAAATTCTAACTGTTAATCAGTAGGTGTTTACCTGGAAGAATTTATTTCAATCTATGGATTTGAATTTTATTTTAATTTATATTGATTTTTTTGTTTTTAATTTTAGCTGGTTGATTCGGAGGAATATTTCGGAAATTAAGTGACGAATCGGTGAAGGGAAGTTCACCGGATTATTTTGTGAGATCGGTGTAGGATTAAGATTCTCGGAAGTCGGCTGCCCTTTGTGCCGGTGAATGTGCAGAGGTTTTTGGTTGGTTCAGGTAACGGGAAGAGGAAACGGAAATAATATCGAGTTTGGAAAAGATGGAGAGGTTTCTCTCTGCAGTGGTGGTTGCAGGTCAATCCGCACCGGTCGGTGGAGTTTCGTTATTGGAAAGCATAAAAATAGCGGTGTTACCGATAGCAAAAGTTTTCACAGTCTGCTTCTTGGGGTTCCTGATGGCCTCCAAGTATGTTAATATCTTGCCGGCGAGCGGCCGGCGGCTCTTAAATGGGGTAAATTCATAGACTTCTCTCTCTTTCGATTCTTTCAAGTGTTTGATATTTATTTCAGGGAATTTTGTGAGTTTTCTGTAAAATGCTTGAGTGTATATGAGTTGCGATGACGGGAAATCTAATTTTAGTTTTCCGTTGACTTGTACTAATTGAACATTGCTAGTGTTTCATTGCAGTTGGTTTTTTCACTTTTGCTTCCGTGTTTGATATTTTCTCAACTTGGGCAAGCTATTACCTGGCAAAAGATGCTTCAGTGGTAAGTTTTCTATGTGTATCCCAGCAGAAGCTAACGGATTTCATCTTAATTTTCTGTTTGCCTTTCGAAATCATCATACTTGGCAGGTGGTTCATTCCTGTGAATGTT